ATCGAACTAATCAGAAATTAACTGGAAATATTAATAAGTCGACATCTAAGTAGGTATATGGCTAAACAGTACAACTCATACCCTGGTCCGCTGCGGATGATGGGGCGTGTCCGCGATCGCGCTTGGCGCTGAGCCAACCTGTTTTTTTCGACAAACGACAGGACTACCATATCGTTCGTATCAGACGTTTTCCAGCAGTTGGTCTCCTTTATCGGAGTCAGCAATTGGCGGAGCACAGATCTGGCGGCGTCGGACACGGACACGCCCCATCATCCGCAACGGACAACACTGTAAACAAGTGCGTAGGTTGGCCATGGAACTCCCTGAATCCTGTAAACACATCTGCTCGTGTAGACAGGCATTGCGTGGAACTGCACCATCCCATTACCTCTGCGTGGGAGCCTAGGCATGGCGCATCCACAAATGAAGCTAATGGGCGCTAAAACACCTACTGCTTGCTCCTATTCCACGAAGGGATGCATTCCAGATGCATTTGGATATCCGAGTACGCTCGCTTGAAACGGTACACAGAAAACGGATTTCGAGCAGCTCGGAGTGCTCCCTAATAAATCCCCAACGCAATTATCTCATGAGTCCCGGAAACTTCAGAAAAGGTTTAAGTGGTTTTTAGATGGTTCAAACCTGTACAATTCGCACTGCAAACTATCTCAAGAAGTGCACTCCCCAATAAATCCCCAACGCGAATTTCTCTATGAATTTGGCGACCTTTATGAACATTTCAGTATGTTTTGGGAAGCTCAACTCTTTTTCTTCACGACTGTGTTTTCCACTTTCCCAACGGTCTGCATTCAAGGAAGTTATTACCCTCCAAAGACACCCTGTTTTCCTGAAAACTCGCGCTCCAATCCAACCACCTTGCACGGCTGGTCCTGCCCAGAATCCCTTCCAATCGATTCCTCACCATTTTCCAGCTGATTTCGGCTGGTCTAGCTCCATTTTTCTTCTTTTTTTTGCCATGCGTTTGTTTACGTGTCTGTGCTTTGTTTAGCGCTTGTTTCATTCGTATCACTTAGCTACTAACCTGTTTAAAGGGAAGACCACGCGGCGACCGAGGACTCATTGGTCTCCTGCTCCCCACTCGACAAAATATAGGCAATTTCATGTTTTTGTTTTGTTTGTTTGTTTCTTTGATTTGTATTGTCTTTTATTTTCGGTGTTTTGGTATCACTTGCCATTATCGTTAGTGGAGACATAGTGATACTACAGCGAATTTAATGACCTTTGGGATGGTCAACGAACGGGTTAAAAGTATCTCTCTATGTCACAAAAGTCTGCATCTCCTCACATTTTTATTTCCTCGGGTTAACTTCAGCGGGATCTTTTGCATGACTAAAACATGTCCAGAAACATCCCGAAATCTTCCGTACGAAGAAATGAAGTGTTTTGTATCGGCCCGAGTTCATGGTAAACGTAAAACATTTTTAGTCCTTTTTGGACTGCCTAGAAGCTAGCGGGAAAAAACTTCGAGTTTCCATAAGCTGAAGTTTTTTTCTGTTTGTGTTACATCATTATTCACTGTGAAGTGTTCCGAGTACCGTGATGATTCCTCCCCTTCGCCCTTTTCATTTTGGTCAAGTATGTCCTCGGTGTAGAAGTGCGCTCTCTAACGCTAATTTCGTTTTCTATAGAATAGCTTAGCCCTCACCAATTTTTCCAATATCACCCTGATCACGTTGAAAGCAGGCTGACCGTTCTTCAAGTTGGTGAGTCACTCGTGCCAGCGTGCTCTCCCGTCTGGTGCTCGGCAGTTCAAATTCTTCTCGGCCCTGATACGTTGTAGTGTCCGCAGTTTCGTCTTTTCTTCCAAGTTGTCAAGCATGAATGCGACCTTAGGCATTGTAGGGTGGAGGGGAAGGGAGGGTCAATAAATTCGCTATTTCACATCCTCGTATTCATTGCTTCACAAAAGTTGACGGGTATTCCTCCAAACTTTGAGTGGTATCACTTTATGCCTTTACAACTTAGAGCCGAGGAAACAAACAGTAAAAAAAAACTCACTTTCTCCACTGTTTGTTTTTAGGGGGTGTCGTACCGAACAGCCCAAGGAGGGGGGGGGGTCGTACGGGCTCGACCAAAATCCCCAACAATGCTGTGCCCTGATTATCTAGATCATCCCTTCCCTGTCCCACCTTCCGTCACGAGGTTACAAAATGAAAGAAGTTGGAGAAAACTCATCCTAATAGCCCGGGAATCATCCATGCGTGTGCGAATGTGTGTGCCTGCCCGTCTGTCTATCTCTCTCCGTCTGTCTGTCTGTCTGTCTGTCTGTCTGTCTGTCTGTCTGTCTGTCTGTCTGTCTGTCTGTCTGTCTGTCTGTCTGTAGTGACCAGCACTGCACGTGTCACATTGTCAGTTACACTAGGAAGTTGGTTTCAACAAATGATATCATAATCAAGGGGCGGGATTGCAGGTGATGGGAGCGGCTATCACCTCTTATCAGTTGCTGGAGGCGTCAAAACGCTGCTAGGCTCAAAACGCTTTGAAGCGAGAACCCATTGATAACTGGTGGCAAGAAGTGTTATCAGCTGTGGAGGCTTATGAAGGGCTCTAAAACATGAGTGACCAGATTCACATTGCACGTCACGGTAAACGTAGGGAGTTACAGACTTGTGTTGACATCTATAACAGCTGTTCAAGAAAAGGAAGCATTAACGAATCCGCGGTGATAACAGCTGATAGGATACCATAAGAAGCCTTAGAAGGAGTGGGTCACCTGATTCATAACACCGGCCAGAGCAACGACGGGACGTTGGATCCAAATAGTAAGATAGGAGCAGTATGGGATCATTATTGGTGGGTGGCAGACAGTGATAACAGCTGATAAGATACCATAAGGAGTCTTAGAAGGAGTGGGTCATCTGATTCATAACACCGGCCAGAGCAACGACGGGACGTTGGATCCAAATAGGAAGATAGGAGCCGTATGGGATCATTATTGGTGGGTGGCAGACAGTGATAACAGCTGATAAGATACCATAAGGAGTCTTAGAAGGAGT